TGGAATTAAAAATTAGACCTACTCCATAGTGGTGGGCTAACTGAGTTAACGCAAGCAAGTAGCTGGCACAGGGCTTGGGGCGCTGTGCGTGTGCGGAAATAACATCGTTATCCCTCAACCATTCCCTGAATCAAGAAGCACACACAGTCAGCCCTCATTATTTGAAGATTCCATCTTTGTGAATTTGCCTACTTGCTAAGATTTATTTGCAACCCCCAAATCAATAGTTGCAGCACATTCATGGTCCTCTGATGGGGGGTGAAAAACTTTGAGTTGCCTGGGATGCATGTTCCCAGCTAAGGCCAATCAAGGAAACACTGTGCCTTCTGTTGTCAGCTCTCCCACTGCAAACAAGTATGCTTTTATGGCCTATTCAGTGCCACTTTTTCACATTTTTGTCTTTTTTCTTGGTGATTTTACTGTTTAAGATGGCCCTCAAGAGCAGTGCGGAAGTGCTCTCCTGTTCTTAAGCAGAAGAAGGCTGTGATGTGCCATTTGGAGAAAATCCTGTGCTGGATAAACATCATTCAGGCACAAGGTGTGGGTTTGATGTTAATGAACCAATAAAATATGTTAAATAAGATGTCTTTAAGGAGAAATACACACAAAATAATTATGTTATGTATTGATTGGTTGACAAGAACGTTATGACCAGAGGCTGGTAGGACTCTAACCCTGTATTTTCCCCAGGAGCAGCGGTTTAGTATTCCCAAATTCATGCTTCCCTTGACTTTATAAGAACATAACAATGGGGACTAAGGAGAATTGGCATACATAGGTGCATTCTTCTTGGTTAACCCCGCCCTCACTGACCAGTCTCCCCTGCCTCCTGCACACTGAATGTCCTCTGCTCCCTTCCTGCAAGATTCCAGTCATTTTGCATGGAGTGGAGAGATGGTGGATTTCCTTGGCTAGAGGAAGTCACCAGAGTAAGGACGGGAAGATAGGGGAGGAGGGTAGGCAGGGCTAGCTGCACCATCTGTTATGGACCAACCACAGAACAGGCAGGAAAGCAACTTCAGGGATGAATGATGGAGGCTTTAGAAGAGATACAGGCTGTAATCCTGACTTTGCAATTCATTGTGTACAGGTTACGTATCTCCTGGGTCTCAGCTTCCCCATCTGTGAATTGGGAATAATGATACCAACTAACACCACAGGGCTGTCATGAAGATGAGTTGCACATAAAGAGCTTGGCATGTGGCTGGCACACACTAGGCACCCAAGGAAACGATGACTGTGGTAGGGCTTAGCTGGTGGCATAACCAGACATTCCAAGCAATCCCCGAGCCCTTGCCTTTATACCTGTGAGTTTAGGCCAAGGCCAGGGACAAGCCTTTTGCCTTGCTTCTCTTCACTTCCCCAAGTCCATAAGGAATTCACCCCACTCCCAGTCCCTGGCACTTCCACCCTAAATCCCAGACCTAGGCACCCCATTATTTGGGCAGCTGCGCAGCTCTCTGTTACGCATGGTCTGCTCATAGTTAGTGGCACCAGCTACCCGCTTTAGAGGCACCCCTGCTCGGTCGGTCGCTCGTGGTTCCTGGCAGCCAAGTGTCTGGGTGGTGAGCGAGCTCAAGGGAGTCCGCCGGCCCCTGCGCGGGTCCACCCTGGGCAGCCCGGGAGGGGCCACTGGTCTCCGACTTTGACTTTGGTCATGCCTGGCCCGGAGCGCCGGAGGCTCGCAGGCACGAGCCAGCGGTTCCGGGCAAACCTCCGTGTGGCCGCTGGGTCTGACTTAGCAGAGTCGGCGCCCGGGCCCGGGAAGGGAGGGTGGAGGCTCGGGGAGGTGGGGGGGGCGATGGCATCCCCGCTCCCGGCTCCGGCTGAGGCGGGGCGCCCCG